GAAGTTGAAGCTGAAGTTTTTGTAGTGAAAGGTAGCTGTGAATCACTCTTGAGCTATGAAACATCATTGAAGCTGAACCTTATCAAAATAGCATTCAATATGAACACGAACATCAGTCTGAGTTATGTCGAAGAAAAGTATCCCAACATCTGCAGAGGCGTAGGAAAATTGAAAGGTTTAGAAATCAAACTGCATATTGATGAAGCCATTGCACCTATAGCACAAAAACATCGTCGAATACCATTTCATCTGCGTGAGAAAGTTGAACAAGAAATAAGGCGTTTGGAAATTGATGATATTATTGAACCAGCAGAAGGTCCAACACCTTGGGTTTCACCTTTAGTAATTGTGCCTAAACCTAAAAATCCTGAGGCGATTCGTATGTGTGTGGATATGCGTGCACCAAACAAAGCGATACTTCGAGAGCGACATATAACCCCAACAGTAGATGACATCATTCAACAAGTTAATGGAGCTGTATTATTCAGCAAAATCGATTTGAAAGATGGATATCATCAATTACCACTAGAGGAGAAATCGAGATATATTACAACATTTTCAACGCACATAGGACTGTTCCGATATAAAAGATTAAGTTTTGGTATAAATGCAGCAGCTGAAATTTTTCAAAATACAATACGACAACTTCTCATCAATATACCAGGTGTTGTCAACATAAGTGATGATATATTGATATATGGAACAACAGTAGCTGATCACAACAGGTCACTGATAAAAGTTTTATCGAAGTTGAATGAATCAGGCCTAACTATAAACCAAGCTAAATGTATTTTCAACGAAAAATCCATCACATATTTTGGTTACGTTTTTTCACATCAAGGAATACATCCAGATCCACTCAAAGTTAGAAGTTTTGTCAATTTGCAGCCACCTGAGAACCAGAGTGAAGTTCGTAGCTTGCTAGGGATGTTGAACTACGTTGGAAAGTTTCTACCAAATCTTGCAGAAAATACCAAATTATTGAGAGATTTAACACTGAAGAATTCAACCTGGGAATGGACACGGAAACACGATGAAGTTTTCAACTTCTTGAAGCAGCAACTCAACGATGCAACAAAATTGGCTTATTTTGATATCAACAAACCCACACATTTGTATGTAGATGCAGGACCATATGGACTAGGTGCCATATTATCCCAAGAATTCGATAGAACGACAAACATTGTCGCCTATGCCAGTAGAAGTCTTTCGGATACTGAGCAGCGATATAGTCAAATCGAAAAAGAGACGTTGGCTGTTTCTTGGGCAATTCAACATTTCCATATTTATCTTTATGGAGCACGGTTCACTCTACATACAGATCATCTACCATTAGTAAAAATTATACAGAATACTAGATCAGCTCCTAGTGCCAGGATAGAGAGGTTACTACTCAGAATACAACCATATAGTTTTGTTGTAACACATCAAAAAGGAGAAACAAATCCTTCTGACTATTTGTCACGATACCCAAGGAATAAAGAAGAACCTCCTGTAGATAAAAACATTGAGAGATACGTCAATTTCATCATCAACAATAGCATTCCTAAGAAAATGACGGTGGAGGAAGTACAGAACCAAAGCCGAATCAACAACGTTCTGTCCATGTTGATAGAAGTCTTGAAAAATGATGATTACAAAATTTGGAATCAACCAAGCCTTGTCCCTTTTAGGAAATTGAAAGATGAACTCACTGTAGTTGATGACATCGTTCTAAGGGGTAACAGAATTGTTTTACCAGATAAACTGCAACACAAAGCAATTGAACTTGCTCATAGAGGACACCTAGGATTAGTCAAAACCAAGCAATTGTTGAGAACGAAAGTCTGGTTTCCTAATATTGACAGAATAGTTGAAACTTTCATCAACAAATGTATACCTTGCCAAGCAGTGGTACCACAAAAGAAACGTGATCCGATAATATCTACAGCTTTACCAAATTACCCTTTTGAAGCAGTAGATGTGGATTATGCAGGCCCGTTTCCGAACAAAAAGTACGTTTTCATCTTAGTGGATGAATACTCAAGATATCCAATTGCTGAAGTGGTACCTTCTACTTGTTTTTCACATCTCAAACCAATTTTAGAACGAATTTTTTCATCTTTTGGAATTCCGCAGTCCCTGAAGTCTGATAATGGTCCACCATTCAATGGACGAGAGATTCAAGAATTTTTATCGATTTACAATGTGAATCACAAACGAATCACCCCGTATTGGCCGGAAGCAAATGGATTAGCCGAAAGATTCGTTAAAACTTTCAAAAAATCGCTAAAATGTGCACAACTCGAATCTAACAAGTTTGATTCTCAAATTCATCAATTTCTTCTGAATTACAGAAGTACACCTCATTCGACTCTAGGTAAATCACCGTTTGAGATAGTTTTCAAAAGGAACATCAACAATTTTTTGCCAATGATGCCCAAAACAAATGAGGATGGTTTTGTTACTATGCAAGATAGAAAGAAGAAACTGTACCAAAAGAAATATGCTGACAATAGACGACATGCAACCAAGCACCAATTCAAAGTTGGCGATCAAGTTTTGTGCAAACAATTGAAGCAACATTCGCTTTCACCTGTTTTTGATCCAAACTATTATAAAGTTATCAAAGTTAGCGGTACCAAGATCACCGCGAAAAGAGGAGAGAAGATAATTGAGAGAAATGCCTCTTTCTTCAAGATTTTCAAAGCAAGTCCAGGTTCAGAATCATTAGTGCCTACTGTACCCCTCACTCCCTGTTTGTCTCGTCATCCATGCCAAGGAAAAATTCGGTTCAGATGCTTGTTCCCTGATAATCAGATGATGGCAGAAGCTGGCAATGGAATAGAAGTTGGAAGACAGCAGCATGATGAAGTTATAGAACGTGAAAATAATGTTCACGCATCTGATGATAATGGTATATATCCACGAGTTGACCGTCCAGCCAGGCAGGCTAGAAAACCATCATATCTTGATGACTTTATATGTAATTAATAGTTAAAAAATAACGATGTAGTGTGATGTATTTGATTCATTCATGAAAAGTTTTTGATACTACTGATGTTGGTATGTTCATTATTTGAAAGAGAGGAGAAAATGTAGTGTTTATAGTTAGCTAATGATAAAATAAATGACGAGGTTTTGTTAGATAGTTATGGTGATAGATAAATAAAGGAGATTGACAAACAAGTTTAATATTATTATCAAAATAATATTGGGATAAAAGACTAACAAACATAACAGAACATTATAATTACCGATGGCAAAGTTTGCGTCTAATTCTGTGATTTGATTTTGAAAATTGCGAACTTGGTGGTTGTTTAGTAATTTAAGTAACCTCAATGTATGGATTGGATAAAAGGACTTGCAGTTCTTTCTTGGAGACGGTGTTATTGGCTTATTTATCGAAACTAGCACAGGTAGCACTAGCTATACAGGGTGTTTTATAATTGAATGTCAATATTCGAGGAGGCGATTCTTGGGCCCATTCTAAGAAGAAAGTTTCATATAAACGTATGACATAAACGTTATAACTTTTGAGATACAGGGTGGTAAGGTTCTCAAAAATTATAATATAGCCTACTACAATGAGACACTGGACACCTAAAGTGTTTGGTGACATTTTGGTTAGTTCCAGGTGCTCGAATGGCACATGGTGGTCCTCTTTCTTTCTAGTATTGTGAGAGTACAAATTTTGATTCACATATGTCATGAGTTCAAGAATGTATATACCGGTGACTGTTAGAATTTCATTTTCTCTAAATATGTTCTTACATGAGTGTGTTGCTGGACAACCAACTAGGCATCTTTGAATACGCTTCTGAGCAAGAAATACATTAGTTGCTGCAGGAGTGTTTCCCAATACAATAATACCATAGGAAATTCTAGAATGCACTTCTGCAAAATAAAATTTTAGGAGATGACTCAGATGCAGTGCACTTTTGAAGAAACCTTATTTGATAACATATAGAGTTCAAGATCTTACATAACTTATTACAGTGGGTTCTGAATGAAAGAGTGGAATCAAAATACACTCCAAGAAACTTGGAAACTAGGGTTTATGACCAGAAATGGTTCAGCATCACGTGATGAATTCCATCAAATTCACTTGTGTTTTATGAGTTTATCCATATTTATTTCTTACAGGGTGCATCCGGATGTGAGTTTATCTGTATCTCACCATCTTCAGGAGGTCATGGACGCAGTCAAACTGAGAGATTGTTCCCGATTCAGGTGCAGCAAAAAAATTCCAATATCGGCACCAGCGGCGTAGCAAATTTTCAGGATGATTTGCGAAAAAAGAGGCGAGCGATACTTTGTACAATGTTTTCGTAGAAAACACAAGTTACCGTATACGAAAATTTCATGTAAATAGTCAAAATAGTCATATAGGTACATATACTTTACGACATAATACTTTGAATGTTTGCGTGTGAGTTGTAAATAAAAATTATTTATTAACAATTTAGTCATTTAAATTTGAATTAGGGATATGAATATGATACATTATTTAAAACATTTGAAACAACATATATTTTGGATTGTTCTAGATTCAGAATTAAATTAAGATAATTGAATGAGAAACTATTATCTATCGTACATTTTCCATCTGCAAATATTTGTATGTCTGAATTTCTGTAATCTGTGGGTAATAAAATGCATTCTCAATTTCTTCCTGCTTTATTCTTTAGTGAGTACTTACTATCAGCATCTAGTTCCAATTTTGATCTATGCCAAAAGCAGAATATCCTCCCTATTCCAGTTTGAATCAATTTTTATGTTCTTAGTTCTTTCAATAATTCATTTTGAATTAGGAATTTTCTTGAATGATAGATTAGTATTTATCTCATAGATTTGTATTTGGTATAAGTTATTCAACTAAATTGTTCTCATTGTCCTCTCCCATTATTCGGTAATCGGTTTGAAATATAGTCTACAATGATCTATTTTAAGAAACACAAGGTTAATGGCGACTAGCGTCTAACTTTACTTTTTTTATATGACTCAAATTGTGTACATCATTACAACATAAACAATTAAAAATGTAGGAATAAATTGATACGATAGGCATTTGAAAAAAAATGCTATGTGCTGTGTATAGCAGCAGCTGCAGTAGTTGACACTCATGAAAATGGCTATGACAGAGTGAGTGCATCTTTTGTTAGTATAGATTTAGTAATTTAAGGATGTTGTTTCAGAGTTCTGATTAAAAAGCCTCCCAGTAAAGAAAGGTGGTATCAAACCAATCAAGGTTTGATAATAATAGTATTGGCTGTATGTTGTTTTGCTTTGGCGGGGTACCTTTATTATGTTCAGTATCTTGAAGAGTCAGGTGAGTTTATGGATTCTGTAAAACATCCATTGTCAGAGCACTCAAAGATTAGTTCGCTGAGCATTTTTCGAAAAAATAAGTGAAAAAAATAATGAAAAATCATACACATTCCATTTGCAAGTTTAAATACACTCAGATGCAAGAAAAACGCAACAAGTCAATATTCGGTCAAACTTAAAGTCTCATATCTTTTCAATTTTCGGTTCGATTTCCATAATTTTTTCAACAAACTGTAGATACAATGACTGATTTCAGTTTGTATATCCAGTCTTTTGTTGAATGCTGGCGGTTTAGTCATTATACAGGGTTAATGGAAAGGTTGGTCTGATACAATTGGTATCAATTCCGGCGTTCCACAAGGATCAATTTTGGCACCAACATTATTCCTTCTTCATATCAATGATCTGTTGGGAGTAACAACTTGCCCCATCCACAGCTTTGCAGATGATAGTACCCTCCATACTGCGTTCTCTTCCATTATTCCCATTTCTTCCCAGGAAACTAAGAACTCACGGCGCAGGCAGGTCAATGCTGTCAATGAAGACCTTGCTGAAATCACAGCCTGGGGGAACCAACAACCAAGTTGAATTCAACGCCACCAAAACTCAAGCCTGTATTTTCTCTAGAAAGGCGGAACTCAGTATGCCCGACATTGTAATGTCTGGCACCACCATCCCCACCAAGTCCACCATATCTATGCTCGGTATTTCCATCAGCAACACTATTCTCGGATTTTGGTTCCGTGCGAAAAGCTACTTTACACCTCAACAGCTCCTCATGATCTACAAGGCGCAGATACGGCCTGTTCTAGAATACTGTTCCCACATATGGGGTTCAGCACCAAAACATACGCTGATGCTCTTAGATTCCATCCAGAGAAGAGCCATCCGCCTGGTGGGTGACGCCACACTCACTCACTCTTTTACATCATTGGAACACCGTAGAAAGGTCGGCGACCTTTCACTTTTCTATCGATACTTCCACGGGAAATGTTCTTCGGAAATCTCTGCTATCATCCCTTCACTAGCAATACCAGTCACACGAACTAGACAAGCCCAGTCAGCACATCCTCTCGTTGTCAACCTCGAAAGATGTCGAACAGCACTTTATCAAAACTCCTTCATCCATAGAACGGCTAGGCTCTGGAATTCATTGCCTGTGGAAGAGTATTCCCAACAACATATAATCTCCAGAAGTTCAAAAAAAAATCCAATACCTACCTCCTATCCCTATCCTCCCTAGGAACGCACGATGTTCTTTGAACATTATAGGGATTCCCTTTCGTGCGCTTCAAGCGATAAAAAAAAAATCCTAATTTCGAAACACCCTGTGGAATAATTTCGTTACCAAATTCTATATCATTGTCATATACTCCTGTAATGGTTTTAAGTGCGGAAAATTGTGCAAAAGCTATTGGCCTTGTTGAAGATGGACGTAATTATGGATATGTTGCAAGAATACTCCATATTCATCGTTCTATCATCAAAAGAGTAGTCATCAGTAGGAGTAGATAAACTACTGCTACTGATGACAGATTTCTTCACGTTAAAACTCTGCGGGATCGTCACTTAAGATAAGGAGATTGGAGGTACAAATGTAAGTGCATGGACAGTTCGCCGAAGATTAAAGGATTTTGGTTTGAAAGCTTGCAGACCAGCAACAGGACCCAAATTGCTTTCGCGTCACCGAGTAGAGAATATTCAATTTGAAACTTAGAGCAAAATGAAACAATGTTCTTTTCACAAGACCAATCCAGATTCTGCTCATATTCTCCAGATGGACGAAAAAGAGTTTGGAGAAGGATCAGAGAAAGATTTTCAGAGTGCACGTTCAGTACCCGTCTGAGCTATGGAGGTTCAGGAATGGTGTGGGCAGGAATAACCCGGGAGGCCTGCACTGAGTTGGTGGTCATCGATGGATCCTAGGATAATGCACGGCCACATACAGCAATGTGTGTTACACAATATTTCGCGGAAGTTGAAATTAACAAAATGAGCTGGCCAGCATGTTCACCTGATCTCAACCCAATAGAGCATGTATGGGACGTGCTTGGTAGACGAGTCAGGGATCGCAAAGTAGCTACGGTTACAGTAAATGAACTGCGTATAGCCCTACTGGAGGAATGAAATAATATTACTCAGGATGCTATTCGTAACCTCATTGACAGTATGAACCGACGATTGCAGGCAGTTATAAGACCTAGAGGTGGCAATACAAAATATTGAGCTTATCTCTTGGAGAAAGTACGTTTTTTAGGTTGATAAAGTTACAGTTCAAATTCAATTATGAAGTGGAATTGGAGTTTGCATGAGTACATTTTTTTTAAGTTCAAGTTCATTTCGTTTTTAAAAATGTTGCAGTGCACTTGTAGACATGAACCAAAAATCAAAATGTAGGAATGGAATGGTTCCTAACAAAAATTGATATTTTGAAAGAATTTGGCTACCAAATTATTCCACAGGGTGTTTTCAAATTAGGGTTACACAACAACATTTCAATTAACTCAGTATAATGACTAATCCGCCAGAAGTTATGAGACTTCAAATTTGACCGAATATTAACTTGTTGCGTTTTTTTGCATCTGTGAGTGCACTTATCTATCTGCTTCTTCGAACTAACCTCCATTTTTTGCATGCGCATGCCAAACCACATCAGACCCACAGACGGTCGAATACGTCGACGAAATTCGATTTGTAGATGAGTTTTGCGGAGGAAAAGAATGCCTGCGAACGGCCACGAAAATCCTCTCGTCCATCGACGAATCCGTCGATCCCTGCGATGACTTCTACAAATTCTCCTGCAACAATTTCATACGTCACGCGTACGAGAACAACGTACCGAGCCCCCTGTATACGCAGCGCGAGTCTCAAAGGTTGAGGCTGGACGCGGTCATATCCTCTCCCATAAGGTAACGAAAATACCAGCAGACTTCACAGTTGTGATTATTTGGTAAAATAATATTTGAATAAATATGAATAGCTCAAAACCATGTCCACAAATGCTCATAAAAGAACAAAACTGGAAGATAACGAGAGAAAAACCACGACTTTCCTGGCTATATTCGAATCGTATAGACAAATAGGATCTGTGTTTCTTTCCTAAATGCTGAATTGTGCTCAAATATGGCTTAAATTGTTCAGGAATATATACAGGGTGAGTCATGTCTAACCAGCCCTAGGTCCCCCTAATCTCAAAGTATTAGACTATTATCCGGGGTTGGGCGAAAGTATGGAACCAGGTGGATATATCGGTAACCGTTTGTTAGATTTCTTTGAATACAAATAGAAAAGCTACACTTGTGTTTTTCCTGATCTTTCTGATACTGATGAAAGTTTTTGAAAAATACGATTCAGAAAGTCGAAATTTTGACATTAAAAAAGAAAATGAGTCTTCCAAGTCCGGCTCTGGAATTTTTCTTCCATAGTAGGCCATCGAGTGGTGTGTCAGTCGAGGTAAGTTGCTGGTGAATTTCAGGCAATAACATGGAGACGTTCTTGAAATATCGTTCATCAAAATTTCGGCCCGAATACAAATAATACCCTGTATTTTGTTAGGCATAGGCACAGTAAATTTTTTCCAATATATATCATCCTTCATCTGCCATTAGGCTATAGCTGGTTAGTCATGACTCACCCATATTCGGTTCGTGAATTGTTGGTTATATGCATAACTTCGATGTTGAACTTCACAAGGGGCGACGAATGGCAACCCCAATTGCTGCAGAAGCAATTTTTCCAAGCCTGCATGAACACCGCAGCAATCGACAGAGACGAAAACGAGAGGTTGTTAAGCGTCATCGACGACCTTGGAGGATTCCCTGTGTTGCTCGGCCAGGATTGGCTGTTCGAAGATGTCGAGCTGTACGAAACGTTGATCACAAGCAAGGAATTAGGGCTGCCCTTCGAGTGGTTCTTCAAGATCGTGCCTTCCAAAGACAAACATAGAATAGAGGTATGAAAATTTACATTAAGCAACTTTTATAACTGTTTTTTAGTTTGAATCACTATTTCTATTGGCTATTATCTCTATGAGAAGCTTTATTCTAAAGGAGAACACTAATTAACACAACGCACAGTTGAAATCTGATGAAAATGTTTGTGCATATTTGGAAGGTCTGAGAATCGGTCGTAAGCTGTATTTTGAATTGAAAATTCAAGATGGCGGATCTAATATGGCGAAAGAGTTTTGGAATAATGAGCCGATTCTATTAAAAATTGGTATCTGGGGGTTTCGGGGTCGTAGGTTATGATTATTTCGTGAAACTTTTGGAAATTCGAGATGGTATAGCCAATATGGCGAACGAGTTTTATGATCCGATTCAATGAAAAAATGGTAAATGGAAGTTTTCGAGGTTTCAAATCATGACTCTCTCGCCGAAATTGGAAAAATTCAAGATGACAGATCCAATATGGCGGACAAATTTTGTTATTCTATTAGAAATTGGTATCTGAGGGTTTTCGGATCGGAGATTATGATCCTTTCGTCATAATTATGAAATTTAAGATTTTGGATCCAATATGGCGGCCAAGATTTAAAATAAAAAGTAAATAAACACGTCTTCATAGATGGCCAGACTAAAAATAAGAGGAGGAAAATAAATGAAAGTTTGAGAAACTGAAGGAACACGCTTTCATAGATAGCCAAACTGAAAAGCAGTTGAAAATAAAATAATGATAGTGTGTTGATAAATATTCAAATGAAAAATATTTCGTAGAAATAATGTTGATTGCAAAACAACGTTTGCCTTGTCAGCTAGTGTATATCTAAAATTATTCTACATCAACGGTGTCATCAGCTCATTCCACTTTATATTCTGTTATTAATTCAAGTATCTTCAAGACAAACTGTCGATTTTTCCCAAAGTTAACTAGGAGAATCTATGTAACTTGGGTGTGTAATTGTCTACCAAAAATTCCAGATTGGGGTTCCAGATTTCCAGATGCCCTTCGATGGTCCCTTCAAAGAATCGACATACGAAAGCCTGATGATAGAAACGGTCGTAGCTTTGGGTGGAGCTAGAGGTATAGCAGAAAACGAAATGGACAAAGTTTTGTTCTTTGAGGAAAACCTCTATCTGGTCGGTATTGAACCATTTCAAGTTCATTTCGTATTATGTGAGTCTTCTTCCAGATATTCGGATCACACAAAAACAGATCCATGAGTGTCACGAAAAAACTTAAAGAAATACAGCTAGTATTTGCTAACTACGATTTGGCTTCGTTGATACAAGAGCTGATTGGAGATGTAGTGCCTATTTCTGATAATACCACTCTGCTCGTCAATGAGGACTTCCTCAAAGATTTGAATTTACTTCTAGCAGGAACTGCCAAAAGGTATCATCATTCTTCAGTTCAATGTCCACATATGGCGTTATGATTTCATAAGATAATTTTATACCGTTTCCAGGACTTATATCAACTATTTTATATGGAAAATTATCCAAGAATTCGGTATTCACATGTCATCGCCAATACGGGAGTACTTTGGAAATTTCTCAAATTTCCTTAACGGTGTTGATCCAGTTATCAATCGATCAAATGTGTGTCTCAGAGAAGCAAAAAAGAGGTATAAGACTATGCCGTAGTGAAATGTATGTTAAATTTTAGAAGTTGAAATATTTCCAGGTTCCCGAAGATAGCAGAGTTATCTTACATGAAACAACTGCTCAATAACGAAACAGCCAAAAACATAAGGGAACTCGTTTCTACTATACAGGATACGTTTAGTAATAGAATAAAGAATGCAGACTGGATGGAGAAAAACACCAAGAAAATAACAAGCGAAAAAATCGAGCATGCCACGACAATCCTTGGTGAAGCTCACAGTTTGGATTTAGATAAAGTGAAGATGGAAAAATTTCTGAACATCGGAAATGTAAGTGCCGAACATAAATGCATTGATGGTAATCGACAGGAAATAATCCATGCTCATATCTTTCTATAGTTGAATTTCACATCAGGAAATCTCATCGATATGTTGAGACAGAAAAATTTGAACGATTTCAATTTGACATTTGTACTCGATAATGTAACCTTGGACGGATCCAGACTACTCCTTTTTCAGTCTGCCTTCGACACAGATTCGTCCTATCTGGAAGACGCTAACATACTAGGTGAGGCTTCATTTAACTTCCGTTATAGCCAGGAAATATAGTACAAGAGCCAACTGCAAATTACGACCGTCATCTGATAACAAAATGTTATGTCCCAAAGGCATGTGAAAACATTGTATTTGATCGAACGGCACCCGTGCCAGAGATCAGTCGTGACTGATCTCTGCCCGTGCCGATCAATATCCTGAGCAAAATGAATGAAAACTGGCACTTTCCTGTGCCGTGATCTGCACTCGATTACGTGATTTGATAACGAGATGAAAATTATGACATCCGAGTAAAATACACGGCGATTTATTTGCTGCCATTATTCCGGACATAATTTCGTTATGTGATAACAAGTTGAAACGAAGAGCAAATAAAAAGGGATAATGTCCCCTTTACGAATACCCATACGTGCCGTGATTCAAACTGAACTAAATTAGTGGCAGATTGTCAATAGTACTCAGAGTATTACGGCACTGTCGAAAGATAATATCCGATGAACCATAATTACACTATGAATATCACATCATAATATTGATAAAAGAATATGAATCATCTGAAGAACAATGTTGATTATAGATTTAGTTAGATATTTGTCTGGGACCTCTTTGTTGCACGTTCACAGTCGCACTTGAACTTTTTGACAACCCTATATCATTGTGTTCGCAATAAAACAGCATTTATTCTTATGTTCAATTTATATATCGAACAAGTAGGTGGAAATAATTTGGACCAAAATACTTGTTCATACCTGGCAACTCAATAGTTACACCGAGAAAATATACGACGTTTGTATATTGGATTCATACTAACGGTTGTTGTGAATTTTTTTCATCAAACTCATCGGTAGAAATTAAACAAAAGTGATTTATGAAGTTTTAATCAATTATAGCCTGGCCAAGATTTATTCAGGCAAACCATTTTTTTTATAATTTTCAACATGCTGAATTATTTATAAAATAATTTTCATCCATTAAACGTATCGACGGTCATCTCACGTAGTGACGTATCTCAGTTTTCTTGATTTTACAGCAGAACAGATCAAAGATTTTCAACATTTTTCGCTGGTTTGTTCATGGAAGATCATTCTTTTTTCATTTATTCACTACGTGAGATGATGTTTGTTAATGTTGTCTTAGATACGCCCATGAATATAAAGTGAATTCAAATGAATAACAGATCCAAATATTCATTTTTATTGATAAAAACACAGAAATTCATTCGAATTGTACAATATCTTACAATACCCCTTTCAGTACCTTGAAACGTCACTCGAGATATTTTAATTTCCGCGGAAAACCCGATGTGAGATACGTCACTGTTGAAGTTTTCATCGAATAATAAAAATATATCTCACGTACTGACGTAACTCCTATAGTTAGGTCATCTTGTGAGATTTGGTAGCTTAATAATTTGAGATAGGCTGAGTATTCGATATTTAATTACACGAAAACCATTGACTATTGAGCTACGCCACTTTGTGAGATCATAGAGTACAAGAATATAAGTCATTTGACGAAGTATCTCAGATTACGATTTTTATGAGATACCTCATTTCGTTATCAGATGACCGTCGAAATTTGCAGTCGGCTCTCCTACTAATACATCCAAATCAATAAGCTTTCTGTTCCCAAATAAGATCATCACGTAGAATGGATCTTCTATGTTCTCAATGCTTGTTTCACAGAGATCTCGACGGCATTTTTGCACGACGAATTCTACTCCAATGCCAGACCGAACTACCTGAACTACGGAGCTTTGGGCGTTATCATCGGTCGCGAGCTTGCAAGAGGTTTGAGCTTGCAAGCTCTATCTAGCGACGTGAATTCGGAAAGTTTCTACGTCAAAGCTGCTTATAACGACAGCAGTGCCGATAACACCACAACTACGACGAACGACACTGTCAGTCTGGTGTGGAACAACGAAACTTTGGACCAGTTTCTTGTTAGGTTCAGGTGCATCAACGAACAGTACGATATATTTGAGTTGCAGGTAAAAAGACTAGGAGATAATCGACACTCTGTGTACCTCCAGAGTGATTTTTAATGAAATATTCAGGGATGTGTTGATGAAAAAAAAAAGTTCCTATACATGTATGTCAGTAAATGCGTCGGTTTTGATATGGAAAATGCATCATTTTATGATTTTGATGATATTCCATTGACAAAGAATTCCGAAGCTTTGCTGATCTACAGTGTGTCCCACTTACCATGCTCACCATGGGTATCATTTTAACGGTGAGAGATACGAGGTCGGTTAAATGACACCAAATGTGGAGTTTGTCAAGGCCAACTATAATGTGAAAAAATATTTTGATAAAATCTATTCGTTTTTGTTTTATACGCGAAAAACAAATTCATTTTCATGTCTCCTTTGTAACTTCTTTATTTATGGAAATATTCAAATAGGAATTTCACATTCTCATGGCAGTTTTTCAAAGTGATTTCGAAAAAAGTATGAAATTTATACCAACTCTTCTAGAATTTGAGATATCAGCACCAACTTTAGTTTTTCTAATGTAGGTCATAGCTCACTATGACTTAGTTACAAATAACCTTTTTTTTCTTACAGATGATATTTCGCAGTAATGGTTTTGTGTTGATAACAACGGAGTTATCGTCATTTATACAAGAACAAAAAATTATTTGGGAACCGCCATTTTGAATTTATGAATTTTAACAAAAAAATCTTGATCTCCGACCTCAAAAACCCCCACTTACCAATTTTGAATGGAATCGGACCAAATCTTGTCCGCCATCTTGGAGCAGCCATTTTTTTTAATTTCAACAAAAATTCCATAATGTATTGTCACCGGAATTATGAACAATTGCCAAATTTCAAGTTAATCGGAGTTATGAAATTTTTGTTGAAATAAAAAAAAATGGCTGCTGAAAATAAAATATAAAAATTTCTGAAATTGAGAATTTGCATTCTCCTTCAGACAAAAAATATGTATATACATACTCTTATCGTGTGTGTTCAATAGATATAATTCAATGTTCGTCGTGGCATATAGCCAGGAAAGTAGTTGTTTTCTATTGAATTAACTGAAAAAGAGTAAATATTCTCATCACATAGAGAATGCGAATTCTCAATGTATTGCTTTATATAAATATATATCCATTTTTATATGTTCATGATTTATCTGAGAATATTCCTTTTCAACAATTTCATACCCAATCAGGGGGTTCAAACTTGAACGATGGAAACTTGTGATTTTTATAGACCTCTTATCGCAGATTCGTGATAGAGTCTCAATTCAGAATTCATTTCCACGCCCTGTATGATGAATGTCAATTTATCATACACCCAAAATGATGGAAGTCTATTGAAATAATAAATTATTTTTTACCCACAAACTCACCGATGCAAAGAAACATATTTAGTATAATTAATTGTGGAATTCTGACATCAAAGAAAAGAGCACTTCGTATTTCCTAGGATTGGCGAAAATAAAACACAAAAATTAATATCACTACGCAATTCTGATATTATTTTTATAAAGCCGACCCCTGATGACATAAACAAAATACTTAAGCCGACGCCATCCACTTTGCCGCCGCCTATGATACCACGTCAAAGTCATGAACGACAGCTTGGAGGTTCCTGCGTATTGAGCAGGAGCGTTTTCAGGCGAACATCGATCGAAACTTTTCACCTCAGAATGAAGTTAGGATTTCGTATACGAAGTTTGACGGTCTTATTCTGACTCACCCTGTATAAAACTTCAAGTATTATTTTTCACCTGTCCTATAGTATTTTAAGGATACTTTTCATTACCCTTGGCTAACTTGATTGTTTTTTATGCTTTGAATGTTTCTTAGGATATAGGAGAAGACCTGTTCGCCAAAAATTTCGCGGACACCCTGGGCATCGACATAGCTTACGAAGCGTACAACGCTTGGAGCCAGATAAATCACAAAGAGGAAGATCCCTTGCCAGGGTTGCCGTACGGTGCCAAGCAGCTGTTCTGGATGCAGTACGCCACTGATCTGTGCTACGAAAAATTGGAGACCAACGATTTCGACCTTCCCGAAACGAGTCATCCCAGGTGGAAGGACAGGGTACTGCTGCCTTTGAAGCATTCCAGATACTTTCCGATGGATTTCAAGTGCATGCCTGGTACTAATATGAATCCGGTTGAGAAATGTTCCCCATTTTGAATAGGCACCTTTGATTTATATCAATTATATTCTGAAATAAAACTGTTCATCATCTTGTTTGATAGTGATACTGAAAATGTGCTGTACATATGATAAATAAAGGGTAAATAATTGAAGACGACGTTGGTACCTATCTGATCAATTTTTCAACCACACAATAATGCCACTGATGGTTATATCCAGTCACATTATCTAATGTAACGTTTATATATTGAAGAAACCTAGATGATGCAATTTCATTCATCATAGTGGTTATACAAAGCGATTACAAATACAGTCTACCTGGAATAATATTATTTTAGCAGGAAGAAAAACTCTGAGCCATCTCCACAAGTTTTAATATACAGGGTGGCATTGATGTAGGTGCAAATATTTCAATATTTTTCCTCGTATTTTGTTCAATTTTTGGGATGAAATTTCTTGTTAATCAGAAGAATTAGAAAAAATCTGATACCATGGGAATATTCCCTAGACTGTATCATATTAATATGCTGAATATATGCACTTATTCAAAAAACACCTTGTACATAGGTAGGTACTAATGATATGTATGAACCAAAAAAGGACAACACTTTATTTGATTCAGATCGAATTCAATTTTTTATATACCTCTGTTATGATAGTCTGTTTCTTAAGTTTGAGATTTTATTTGTTTTATATTTTTGTTGTTAATTTTTACTATTCCTTGCTGTTTTACTACTATTTTTCAGTACTAGAATCTTACAAGTTGTACCTACCTATATGTATGGCACATTGATGGATTTTTTTGTCATTCATTATCGATCAAATCGGCAATCGGCATCCATGTCCCTATCTTAACTTTTGATTCACTATCTATTGACAATTAATTGAAACAGAATGATCTTTGGAAGGAGTCCATGGTAACTCAAAGTGAGTTTTCAATGTATTCCCTTCTTACATCATTTAAACCAATGTTTTCCTGATCATGGTGCATACTTCTGTGTCTTGCCCCATGTTATTGTCTAAATTATAGAATTTTTCAACTTTTTCTTTTCCATGTAGTAAGTATTCGTTGTATGTATATCCTATTCCATTGTTGGTTTTTCTAGAACTAAAATTTCGTATTCAGCTGATGATGGGCTTATATAAGCCCGAAATATGTACTCCAATGTGAATGATCTCTTATCGCCAATAAGAGGTTGTGGAGAGGACTTTCGGTTTCTTCATCTATGGAGAATAATGAATCTTGAACCACCCTGTATTTGTTTCAATTAACTATCAGTAGATTGGGATACAGAAGTTAATATAGGGACATCAAAGTCGTTTTGACCGATAATGAATAGTTTCAGGACAAAAAATCCTTAAGTTCAAAAATGTCGATTTTGAACACTCTATATCTCTATGATCATTCCTGCTAGTCCCCAAGTATCATGCATTGATGAAATAAGTTATTCAGGGTAAATCTTGCAATGCAATGAACTACAAGGTGATCAATTTGAAATATACTACCTGGTAAAATGTTCAAAAGGATCCTATGTCCCGTACTCCGTAAACGTCTAAGATACCATCGACCGTGATCCACCCTGTATATTCATTGTAGGTCCGTTGTAGGTAATGCATTTTTCAAACAAAATTGATCAATGAATTCAAATTATTGAAAATGATAGGAATTTCATCATTGGCGTAGAAAATTTTGGAGAAAATGTTACTGAAACCCGAGCTATAACCCTCTGTGGCGTAATACTGAATAAAATAATGCCCGGAATGATATTCTGGTAAAAAGTTTACATATTATAATATATAAGATTCGAATACTTTGATTCGTTTTACCAAATTTCAGAATTATCATTAAATTGAAAATGTCTCACCTCATTTATCACATTTATCTATCTTAAATGTATTGAACATTTATGGAATAAACGAGAAAGAAAGTAAAAATTTCTAACATTGTTATTGAAGAAATAAATCAGTTTTGTCAAGCAGAAATATAAACAATGGAGCTAATTCAAACAATAGCATAACAACGTTGCACTTATGATTTTTTTCACGCTTGAAGATCCTAAATAGAGTATAATGACAATGTTATATAAATCACCTGAGGAAAACTGTCCCTCACTATCTTTCAATAGTCCTTCGGTAGAAGATGTGTTCCAAAGGGTTGTTGGTCGTGACAGTATATTTAGTATTTATTTCGTTGATAACGGCTGCAGTTATTGATGAAGGGATGTCTAATACAAATAGTATCGGCAGGTAAGCCTATTTCAATATTAATTTTTCGTGAACAATATACCAATTCTGTTCACAGAGTTCTCCAACTGTTAGCTTAATTAGGTATTTAACCAAATAGTCTAGGTATCAATGAGGGGAATAACTTCCACATGGTTACAACCAAGTTACAACATTTTTCCGTTGACTATATTTCCCCTGCAATGAAGAAAATTTTGTTCGCGGATTCATCTGGAATCTACTAACAATTTCACAGTAGCCATGAAAGTCAACTTGGCACTGACATTTGCCATTTCGTAAAATTATCGATATTGAAAAAAGATGTATTTTGTGTTAGAAAACAGGGATCAGAAACGTTTAAAATCTTACCCGTTCACGAAAAATCGGTAATTTTGCACTTATCATGCGATGGTTTTTCTTTCGAAAAATGTTTCTGTTGCCTACTATTGCCTACGTATATTTGTCTGAAACACGATGTCTGAAAAACGAATTTGATATATGAACTTCAATGATACATTTTTTTATATCGTACGAAGAATGATTTCTATGGCGAGTTTTTCATATTTGGTGATATAGTTGAAGAGCCGAATGCAAATTTTGACAGTCATCAACTGATATCGAAATAATATATGTCCCAAGGCATGTAAAACCATTGAAGTTTATCGAACGGCACCTTCACCAATCACTATCCTGAGCAAAATGATTGAAAATATGCAGTTTTCTGTAGATTTCAAAAACGCATCTCTGCCACCCCTCAGTCTGAAACACGGCACAGCGATTTATTTGCTGCTATTATTCCGGACAAACTTCCGTCATGTGATAACGAGTTGAAACAAGAAGCTTTTGCGAATATCCAAACGAGCCGTAATTCAAACCGATCTAAGTGACAGAGCGACAATTTCCGAGGATATTTCGCCTTCCTCTGAAGATAATATCTGATGGACCAGTCTGAAACTCAACATGTGCATAAGAATGCTTGTAGTGTGAGCACCACATAAAATTCACCCTGGTCCATCGGATATTATCCTTCGACGAAGGCAAAATATTCAAGGTTTGTTCACATTTTCATTATCAAATTCGTGTTTTTCAGACAAAAATACGTAAGTTCAAAAATAAAATTTCGAAAAAAAACCCATCGCATGATAAGAGCAAAATTACCGTGAAATCTTGTATGAAATCCGTGTTTTCCATAATCGTTCGTTTATAGAGAAATTGATCATCAATAGGGGTCATTAACGAAAAATTTCGTGCACATTATCGAAATTTGTTAATACGAAGTTGAAAACAGCACAAAACACATTGATTTGTTATTGAGAAAGTGACTCATTTCACTATGACAACATATAACAGTTAGAAAGATCGAAAGCAAAACTCACATGGGTGGAAATATTCGAAAATCGCACAGTAACAGGGTCTATAGATTATGATGTACCAATTAATGATTAAAATGCTGAATTATGTTAAGTTAAGTTATGGTCAAGTTGATGGAAAGTTAGTGTCGATTTAACATGAGTTATTGTCGTTAATGTTGACGTAATGTTAAGTTGATGAAAAGTTGAAACCAAGTTAATTTCAATTGAAAGTTGAATTAATGTCAATGTATTGGCAATTCAGTGATTAATGTGAAGTTTATGTCAATTTGATATTGAGTCGATGTTAATTTGATTTTAAGGTAATGTCAAGTTAATTTTGAGTTAATGTTGGTTTAATGCTGAGTTGATGTTAAGTCAATGTTAGGTTAATTTCAAGATAATGTTGAGTTGATGTTGAGTTAATGTTGAGTTAATTTCAAGTTAATGTTAAGAAACTGTTAAATGTATGTTAAGCTGATGTTAAGTGGGTGTTGAGTTGATGTTAAGTTAATGTTGAGTTAATGTTGAGTTCATATCAAGTTAATAATAAGGTAACGTTAAACTAATGATGTCATTCAAATATTGAAGTTAAATTAAATAATAATGATAATGAAATCACCTTCATGTGATCGAATATGATTAGAAACATGATCCCTACTCTGGTCTTATAAACACTCATGACATATAATATATAGGAAAAATAGTGTACAAAATTCGTTGGAAAGTGCATTTCCTGCGCTCGTTTTGTTTCCACTCGCGCGAAATATGTCACTCTCCACACTAGTTATACTATCGATCACATCTAACAGTCCAGCCTTCTATAACATTTTCAATATTGTAACACACATTCTGTTATCAGGGGTTTGGATGCAAAGAGCCTCCTAACTTCCTTGGCCACAAATTTCATGACATCGAGAGGATACTATGGTGCAACAGGCGCAGGATCTTCGCAGATAGTATCCTTGAATCTGACCAACCTTTTGGTCCTAGTCCTTCTGAAAGCTCTGATTTTCGCTGCTGGATCTTTAGGGGCAGGTCATTGGAAAGGGGGATACGCAAGGAGTATGGATGGAGAAGAGAAATTCATCACGGACGAAGAGATACTGATGTTCCTCAGTTACCTGGCAGGTAAACCCATATTTCATTAATGCTCAAGTTGAAGCCTTCTAGATTATAGGTTTCTTTGGAAAATTTCACACCAGTGATTTTATTACAGTTAAATCGGATTTTATGACAAATTACCATAGCAACGTATGTATTTTAGTGTCATTTTTTTTCTCTTGGGTACCCAGGTGAGATAGAGTAGGCCCTGGGTACCCACCAGCGTATGAAATCGGAATTTTTTTTATGACGGAATGTTATCTTGACGTCCTGAAATAGTGATTTTGAGCCACTCCAATTAGTTAGAAATCAAATATTAATAGGCTAAGAATCCATTGATGTCCTAACTGCATCTATTATACAGTGTGTCCATTTAGTGCGTAATTCTTCGATATCTCGAAAGTCATAACTTATAGAGAAAAACTTTGGAAAAAAAACTTTTTCAGTTACTAAAGTTGCTCATTTCAAAATTAATTTCAACATTACTGGATGTTTTATAAAAGCAGGGCAACTCGAAGAAGAGTTTTTTTAAATGGAACACCCAGTATTGTTCATTTGGAATTAATTCCAACGAGGTTCACCTTCACATCGCTGTAAAAAAAATTGAAATCGGTTACGGCGTTGCCAAGTTATAATTGATAAATCTATTTTTACCATTATTGAAGAGTCATGTTGAATTGGGCATGGTATATTCATTTATTCAAATTTTGGAAATATTTTTGGCATACGGTAAAAGCAAGGTCCAACGTATACCAATCCAGTAAATTTTCGACATGTTCTTCAACAGGGTGCTCAATTTTGCATTTAGAATTTTGCAAGATTCAGATGACATTCATCAGAATTTTTCAAATGGAACACCCTATATTTTTATTCAAAAATTCATTCCGACATGTTTCGCCTTTGTATCGCTGAAAAAAAAATCGGAATCGGTTGCGGCTTTGTCAAGTTATGGTTAATTTCCTTATTTTTACTACTATTTCGGGGTAATTTGTACGTCATAGTTCTTTCATTTATTTGTATCGTGGAAATATTGCGTTGCTACGGTATAATCAAATTCGTTCATTGGCCATTCATAAATTTTTTTACAAAAGGAACATTCACAGGCTCTCTAAGTTCGAATTTTTTTCGCCACAATCAAATATATCTTGGATAGATTCGACATTTTGCTGAATTCCCTCCCAAAAGCCGCGTAGTAAAGACATATTGTTCGTATCATTTTGTTTACCATCTTCAAGTTAAATGGAGATTCGGATTGTGGGAATAACGACAATGAAAATGTCCCAAATTTCAAGAAATTGTCCTAATTTTCGCAATCCGCATCTTCATTGTTTGTATTGTAGAAGTTATTTCAAAGACAGGCGTTGCTTTTGGCATGTTTGTTTGTCTGACATATTATTTAAATCATAAGTAACAAGATTACGGAATATTTCAAATTTGGACGATGCACATATCACAAAAATACCTGAATGATCTATGTAGAACTTCAAATCAAATTAAGAAACCATCATGACGTACAAATTATCCCGAAATAGTAGTAAAAATAAGGAAATTGCTCATAACTTGAAAACGTCGCAACCGATTTCGATTTTTTCTTCTGTGATGAAGAGGCGAATGATTTAGAAATAAGTCCGTGATGAAAAATACAGGGTGTTCCATTTGAAAAATTTTTATGATCGTCGTCTGAATCTTACAATATTCAGAATGTAAATTTTAGCACCCTGTAGAGGATTATCTCGCAAGATTACTGGATTGGTATACGTGAGACCTTGCTACTACTGTATGCCAAAAATATTTTCGAAATTTCAATAAATAAATATACCATACCTAATTGAACATGACCCTTCAATAGTAGTAAAAATGGTTTTATCAATTATAACTTGGCAACGCCGCAACCGAATTCAATTTTTTCACAGCGATGTAGAGCTGAACTGGAGAGGAATAAATTTCGAATGAACAATACTGGGTGTTCCATTTGAAAAAACTAGTCTTCGAGTTGCCCCGCTTTTATAATTCACCCAGTATAGTTGGAAATATTTCCAAAATGAACAATTTCAGTAACTGAGAAAGTTTTTTCCCCAAAGTTTTTCTCTTGTGATAATTGATTTCGAGATATCGAAGAATTACGCACTAAATGGACACACTGTATAGAATGTCATACCACTACCTGGGCCAGTGTGAGGCGTTATGGAAGGCTAAAACTCGAAATATCTGGTACTGATACGCTTCGACAGGAAGATCAAATTACTAAGGTGGACGGACATACTTACATACTTCATCAGAAATCCACGGAGGTTCGAAAAGGACAATTAGGAGAAGGAATGGTAAAGCTGCATTTATCATGCGAAGGGTTTTTTTTCGAAAAAAATTTTTGGTACATTTTTTTCTATAATATGAGTCAACTAAAAATATAATATTCCTGTGATTTATCCATATTGAGTGAGAAGAAGGAAGAATATCATTCAAAATAATGGCGTCATTCAAAAGCAATCTGTTGACATTTGCAATCTCGTATTTGAATTGACTATTGATTAAATGGTCGTCATCTGTTGTGTCATTGAAGTACATCATGAGTATATAAAGTGTCCAATGACAAAATAAGAAGAGCAAGTAGCTGTAAATGCATCCAACACAAGGGGAAAAAGAAGGCGGAATTTCGAACTTTTTCTTGAAATATCTCGATAAATAGTGGTTTGTTCTCATTTTCATTATCAAATTCGTGTTTAGTATCAGTACCAAGAAAAATTTTCGAAAAAAAACCCATCGCATGATAAATGCAGTTTTACCGCTAGACGAATGCCTCTCCTTCCTCTACTAAGTCTAGTATGTACCTATTCCTATGAGAAATTAATGACAAAAATGTAATTTCTTATCACTTGTAGTATCCCGAAGTTGATAATGGAAGAACATAATATGTTACATTTTAAACTAGTATTTTCATGCAAATATAATAAGGTAGAAATCAGGAATCTATATTATTGGTGCCGATACTGCGACCCAAACTAAATTTATTCATGAACCTGTATGCAAATCAAATGAACAAATAAATTCTTAAATTATTTAATTCCCAAACACAAACTGGTGTGATATTTTATTACCGAATACCACACGAGGTCGAATTACTTTCCTCGTCTTCTTCTTTTAAAAATATCGTTGAGCTCGAGAAAATTTCCGGAAATAATTTGACCTCTAGTGGTATTACAAGTGAAAATCGAATATCAAAATATTATTTCTGAAAGGAACATTCTCTTTGATTTTCAAGGTTCTCCCAGTTGCTTGAAAAACATAGCATGCCAGCAACCAGAGCAAGCCAAAAAGTATATAACCGCAGGTGATCTGGTGCTCAGGGTATCAAAAATGTTCTCCATTCATATGGACGTGGATTATGGTTATATTCTACAAGAAATGGAACAGGCATCCAACATCGGAATGACAGGTGGTACTTGTAGAAATTTTGAGTGTGGTAAATGACGAAATACTATACAATAATAATAATTGTTGAAGTGATAGGCCATAGAACAGCAACAACAAGTTTTAGAGCTTCATCAAACTCATTGAACTATAGATGAATCATTATTCATTAGGTATATATTACTATAAGGGAGGATGTAAATATAACTACAGTTTTATTATAATGTAGTTTACAATACCAGTAACCCTTTTGCTCAATACTTTTATTATTACAATCAATATCTTGACCAACAAAATATGAATTCCTATGGAACCATCATCACTGCTGGAGATCTTAGATCTTCTTTATTTTTTGGTTTATTTCTTCTTCTTGCTACGTACTCAGCATAACTCAAGTACCCATCATCATCTATATCGTCCTCTCTTAAAACTTGGTCGATAAGTTCTGAAATTCGGGCAAATAAGAAGGAGTTTTGATTGAAGTTATGCAAAAGACTTACCAACATAATATTCTAAATCGGACTTTTCAGTTGTGGAAGACATATCGTTTTCTCCATCTTCCTCATAACTGTCACCATGTTCGTCCGTATGCGAAATGGCTTGCAAAATTTCTAGACCATCTAGTTTGGAGTTTTTATCGCTATCATGTACTTGAAAATAGTAGAACTCTAGTTCTTCATCGGACATTTTGGAAAAATCTGGTTCAGGTATAATTTCATCCAAATGTTCCTAAAATAACCAAAACCAGTATGTGAACCGGACAATACTATATTTATAAAAGAATAATTATTTATTACCTGTAGATGCTCTTGATCATGCAGCAACTGCACATCTTCAGTTAACTTTTCAGACGCATCCTTTATGGGTTTATAATGTACGTGTCTTTTGACAATTTTGTCACCTCTAGGATGATGAGGACCTCTCGATTCCACGAATATTAAGCACAAGGAAATCAAATGAAAAATCCTGTAATCCATACTGAAATCAACGAGCCTAAAACACATCAGTGAATAAACATAAAGCACGGAGTGCCACAAGGCTCAGTCCTTGGACCAATCCTTTTTCTTCTCTACGTGAACGATATGGCTTCTCGAAATATAAACGGTACAATCACATTATTTGCTGATGACACAACCATCTTTTGGCAAGAAGAGAATACTATGTTAGAATCAAATATAATGCAGGATATAAAGATTATCAAAGATTGGCGTGAATCAAACCTCCTTTCTCTAAATATCAAGAAAACCAACATCCTGACTTTCCATTGCAATATTCCTAACTTGAATATTGGATGTGAGGTGATAGAAAATAAATTGTCAACTAGGTGTCTATAGGATTATTCATAAATAATAAGTTGTTGTTTACAGAACATGTGACAGGTTTGTGTAAAAAACTGGCTTCTGGATGCTATGTTGTAAGGAACATTGCCACGGAGTTATTAAGATCTTCATCTGCTAGAACAGCATAATTTTGCCTTAATTGAGTCTCACTTGAGATATGGAATAGCATTTTGGGGGGCCTGCAGTGATTATTTATTCCAGAAGAGTTCTGTTTTGCAGAAACGAGCCCTCAGATATATAGGCCGGGCGAAATCTAGAGATAGCTGTAGGGACTTATTTAAAAATTATAATATTTTAACTGTGGTTTGCTTATACATATTAGAAACAGCGTCACTAATTCAAAAAAACAAATATGCCTTACAACTTGTCTCGTCACAATACAATACAAGGCAGAATGGTCAAATTAAGTTGATAAGACTCCGAACCAGTATGGTCAAGAACTCGATCATTTATAATGGAATAAAAATATTTAATCACCTTCCAACTGACATCAAAGAAATATCATGTGATAAGAAGTTCCGCACTGAAGTCAAAGCACTACTCGTCCAAACTTCACTCTATAGCCTGGATGAATATTTTTCAATGGAGTTTTGATTTACTGAATAGGTATATCTTTTTTAAATTTGAAATGAAGTCAATATATTTTCAACTAGGTAGACATAGCCCTATACGAGCTTTTGAATGTTGTTTGTTATTTGTCGTACTATTGTCGTATTTTGTGTTATTTATTTTCATGTAATTCAACAATCTCTGTCAACAAGGGTGTTTTTACTTATGACAATAAAGCATATTTTGAATTTGAATTTGAATTTGAAAGTAAGAACCTCCGAACACTTTCGAAGTTTGCTAGACTTTTTCATTTTTCTCTACATCATTTTTGATCATAGAGATTAGGAAATAATGCCCCTAAATACACACCACATATATTCCGCTCAGATGGGGTGGAAATAAAAATAGGGGATGGGTAAATAGAGGACCATTGAAACGGAGTGGAGACTTTTATTGAATCTTATTGAAATATAAGTGTTGACAGCGCTATTGCAGATTGTAATGACCAGCTAATGAAGGGGTGCCCTCCAGAGGCGTATACAGGGGGGTTTGAAAGTAGTTAAGCCTCTGATTAATAGGAAACAAAATGGATGCCTATATATTCTATGAACAAAATCACACACAAGCATAAACATCATGTGATTTCTTTCTTTTTTTCTTCCTATTTGATATTTATGCAGTTATGTTTTATACAGGGTGTATACTTTAAAATGGAATTAATTCGCTAGCGGAAAGGTGGATGATTTTTCTAAAAATTCCTGAGACATGTCAACATTTTGTATTTATCTACATTTTGCAAGCAATATGAAGTATATAGACCTTCAGCCTAGCGTGGAATAATTGTTTTGTCAATCAAAAAGTTGAATTATTGAAAGTGCATTTGGTTCCTTTGGTCCACATGATGAAGTGGATTCATCTACCTCTTATTGTGGTTTCCCTATGAACACTGCCAGAAACCAGACAGAAACAGTCTTATATATGAATGTTCATTGCCAATGATGTTCAATTAAATCATTCGACAATAGTGATGTAGCATTGAAGTGTCGTTCACGAAGTTAGAAATTTTCATCACTACTGAATCAACAATCAGATATGTTTAATACCTGCACATCTGAATAGCTTTCTTCAACTTTAAGGTAATTTTGAATATTTCGTGAACGCTGTTTCTTAACGAAGTACTTCTTTATCTCAATCATCATTTCTTCATCATCGCTGGTACCCGATATGATTTCGGAAATTATTGTAATAAAAGTAATAAACTTCAATGAGACATTCATAATTATTCAAATTCCAAATATTTTCCCACTCGTGACTCGAATATTTGAAGTTATGTGTTTCGCACCATCGTACAAGCACAGCTCTGAAAACTCGAACTCTGAGCGGGCATCGAGCTGTGACGAGTGGAAAACGCTATTAAAAAGGCACTTATTTTATAGTATAGTCCTAGTTACGCTATCAATAAAGAAGGTCATAACTCCCTTGGGACATTATAGATTCTATAATTCATTCTACCTTTCACAAGTAGAAATAATAGTTATTTATACAACAAGGAAATTATAAGACTCATTAATTCCCGTGGCACATAGATCATTCCATTTCTGACAGATTTCGATAAAATTTTGTTCATTTCCAGAACGGAATGAATGTACCAATTCATTACGTTCCCGATATATTCGTATAAATATATCACGAACTGTTGATTATACAGGAGTTGCTAGGTTGTCGCTATGTTACTTGTTTCTAATAGAACTTTTTTATCAAGCTGTGTAGGTAGAGGGAATTATAGAATATAAAATGTCCCAAGGAAGTTATGACCCTCTTTATTGATAGCATAACTATGACGATATAAGCCTATAAAAATTTTCCGGACAGTAGGTAATAAAATAAAAAATGGATATCAACAAGCTAGCAATAGCAATACTTCTATAATCAACGGTACCTGATTCAAATATAGCTAGAAGGTAATGAATTGGTGAATTCATTCCAGTTGGAAAATGAACAAAAATTGTTGTTCCTTGGACTTGAGGCCCTTGGGCTGCAAACTTAGATACATGAATAACTATAAAACGTTGACGTATGTCAGTAATTTGTAAAAAGAAGATTAACAAAGAGATTCACAGCGTTTGGTCTTATTCATCTATATTCCAATTTGAATATTGCTAACATTCACACTATGTGTTTTAACTACTGAATTATGAAATGGAGTTTTTATAATCATCATTTTATCTGAGATATAAAAAATATACTAGGTAAGCCTCATGAGAGATTATTTCGTCATATTCAATCATCAACAGAGCTCGAAGACATGACAAGAAGAATCATATTGGCCACGTTTATACCGTGTCTTGGTAAGCTGACTAATGACTATATTTTAACTAAATAGTCTTGGTTAGTGTGGTATAAACTGTAGACTTGGTAAAGTTTTCAGCTTGGTTTGGTACCGAAACTCGTTGCGTTGATCAAAACGGTGTGAACACTTTGGTCTATTTTTGTATAGCTTTGACTAGAGTCAAGTGCAAGTATCTGTTATTTCATGATTTTCCATTCAATATCAGCTAATTTCGAATCCTACTAAAAGTTTTTATTCATAATAGGTCGCGTGCACGAAGACCGACCCTGGAGGAAAAATATTGAAACACAACCTCATTCTTCTGTGAATTATTGAAACACAACATCACTTTTTTATTTGGTTACAGAGGAATCAAAAGGTTGAAATAGTTTTTCACAATATTTTGGCATACGAATCGTGTTTCTTGCGTTATTTATTAATTCAAGCATGCCTTCGCATTGTGCTGTTGTACAATGCACAAAAAATTCAGCAAGAGACTAGGGAATATGATTTTTCAGGTAAATAGTAATCTCACATAGTTAACATTATGAAATGTTGTCGTTCCTTATTAAAATTCCTTCTGCCTTCTGCCACTTCTGCAATACAAGCTAATGCTGCTAATAGATTGAAAATGTCTACAACACACACGATCGTCAGCATGTCAGACCAGTCCTCCCGATTGATTGCATGAATCCAATCTTCTTGCATTATTTTAGAAATTTCAGGTGTATTTCTATTAGCTCCTATCGCAGAAAGAATTCCGATGAGAAGTCAGAGAAATTACCAAATTTCAAAAATGAAAACTATAGGTGAGTGACTATTAGTAGGTACTTACTTTTAAATCATAATGTACCATCCGGATTCCTTCATCTTCCGCTGCAGTTTTTGTGCATTTTACAACAGCACAATATGTGATGGCATGAGCGAATTGATGAATAGCGGAAAAATACGATTCGTTTGCCAAAATAATTGTGAAAAACTATTTCGATCACTTGTAAACAAATAAGAAAAGTGACATTGTGTTTCAATATTTTGCCTCCAGTGTCGGTCATCTGACAGTTCTTGCACGCAACCCATTTACGAATTTGAGTGGATTTCCACAACCTAACCTCAAAACTATAATCAAATCAAAATCCGGCCAATTGTCTTACAGAACAGAGGCCATTGAAAAGAAAGAAGAAAAAAAAAAAGGATCAAATCAAAGCAAAGTTGGTAAAGTTAGTCAACTGAAGATAAACATGCGTTAACTAAGTCATTTGGTCTGAATTGGGTCAAATCGCCTTGGTAAGCATACCAAATATCCATACGGTATAAACGTGGCCATTGACTGTGAAACGATTTGGAGGAAATATTGAGACAAATTTGACTGCATCCCCGTACGCCCCTGGTGGACCGTTCGCCCCAGGGAGAATCATTAACGTCCGATAACATCTCTTGTTACAGATAGAGGGCGGGTCGGTCCATATGTGCTCTCGAAGAGTGTCTGACTCAAGTGCTCCCTCGCACGTCACCCAGAAAGGGTGCCCTGATCGGAAATTGAAAGCCTCACACTCTGTATATTATTCATGAGGGGGGCCAAGACGCGACACCTGTTATGTATGCTCAGTGAATCTCGTTACGATTATCATTGGTCCTTTTTCAGATCTATAATATACAGGGTGATCCACGGTGCATGGCCTATTAGAAGTATCTGGAGAACGAAAAAACAGAAACTTCTGAAAATTGGGATGCTCTGATAATTGAACATTCTCTATCCGTCTAAAATATTTTCATCGATACAGTGTTGCCACTTCTATCAGAAACAACTAGCAACTTTGTTATTTCAAATAGAACACCCTGTATTTTATTGCATTCTTAGATTCTTCCTAAAAAGCTGATTTCATCAATGTACCACACTTGGGGTCTAGCAGGAATGATTACAGACATATAGGGTGTTCAAAATCGAGATTTTTCAATCTTAGGATTTTTGAATATATGTACAGGGTGATTACAAAACGTGGTGGATTCGAAAATGTTATCGTCGATGTTGCCACTTTTTCAGTTATTCCGGAATTATTATCAACTTCCTCATTTTAAATAGAACACCCTATATTTTATTGCATTCCCAGATTCTTCCTAAAATAAGCTGATTTCACCGATTCATCACACTTGGGGTCTAGCATGAATGATTACAGAATAGGGTATTCAAAATCGAGATTTTTAAATTTTAGGATTTTTTTGTGTCGAAACTATTCATTATCGATCAAAACGGCTCACATGTCCCTGTCTCAACTTTTGATTCACTATCTACTGAAATTTAATTAGAAAAAATACAGGGTGCTCCAAGATTCAGAAGTCTGATCCCTCTGTATCTGTTCCAATTAAATGTCAGTAGATAGTTAATCGAAAGTTCAGATAGGGACATGTGAGTCGTTTTGATCGATAATGAATGAATGAATTCAAAAAGCTCAAAGTCATTTCCACACATGAACAAAAATGGTAGCTTTCGGGTAAAAAAACAACTATTTTCCTGGATAATACCACGCAGAACATTGAATTGCATCCTCCCGAAATATATGCATCGACTGGTATAAACGAATACTGATACAAGTGATTCTTTCCTGAATGCCTATTGATTTCGATTTAGCCAGGCCACGCCAGAAAACCACAGACCGGTTTTGAGCTCTTTGACTCTCATCAGTGCAGTGTAGTCTCCAGCCACCAGTTCTAAGACCGCCGACTCAGCGTAGCCTAGCCAAACAAAAATCAAGTCAGCATTATATTCCCCCAGAGGCGTCTTCCATCTACATTATGAAAGCAACGCCATCTGACTAGTACAGAAGGAAAGAATCACTCCAAAACTGAAATTCCCATACGGGAGTGGCTGGTTGCCCGACTGGCGTAATCGATAATGAATAGTTACGACACAAAACAATCCTAAAATTGAATAATCTCGATTTTGAACTCCCTATATCTCTCTAATCATTCCTGCTAGATCCCAAGTGTGATACATTGATGAAATCAGCACTTCAGGAAGAATTTTCATAATGTTCTGTCTTTTCGTTCTTCAGATACTTCTAATAGGCTATCCAGCGTGGATCACCCTGTATACCTACACAGCGCTCGTTCTCACATTACTAATACAAGATTTCGATAATCTTCATTATGACCTCAGAGTAACTTTTTCATGACTTCTCAGTAACTTTATTATGACGTTACGGTTTACTTGTGAAGCTTGACAGATGTCACTTTGTCAGTTTTTGTTATTTATTGGTATTTTCCCTGTTTGGTTCTAGTAGTAATATATTAAATAGGAAATTTATCATCTGAAACATCATTTTGTTACAGATGATGAATTCCTATACTACTACTATGGACATAGGTACTAGGTACTTAGCTACTCCAAATCCAAGAAATTTTCAAATAAACCAATTGCTCAACTCTTTTTCGTCGATAATATAAGATATTTCATTTACAAATACTCCGTATGAATCTATAATTATGTCATAGAAGATTAATAACAACAACAAGAGACCTATCCAGTGCCCAGTATGTGGTTGGTTAACTATTAGGTCATAGTTTGGAATACACTTCGAGGAAAATTGGCTGCCAACTCATTGTTGACCGGGATTGTGTGATTAACTTCGAGGAAAAATGTATGTTTCTCCAAATGACATTGAAAGTAGCTTTTTTATAACACTCCACAGGCAGAAAAGGTGTACTTTTACTGCCTAGGCTGAAAAAGTTTGTTCCTAGGCAACGTTCCAAGTAATTTGAATCAAATTGGTAATCAGACAATGACTTTGGGTGAACACAAAATGATGGATTATTTAGACTTTGCGTGAAATTGAAACGAATTTGGAGAAAAAATTATATGTTTCACATGGCAGAAAAGAATATGTAATGCCTTGGCTGGTATCCTAGCCTCGGCTACGCCTTGGCTATGAAACGCTGCAGCCGCGACAATAAATCTTGTACTTTTCTGCCTAGTAAAACAAATAACTATTATTCCTTGTTTACTACTACACAATGAAATATTGGATTTCACTCACCTGCTACATGATTATATGACCTTATGCGTTTTGAGGTTATGTTACTGCATCTGGAAACTTGGGAAGCAATCGATAATCCCAGGATATGCGCAGGAATTCGTGAAAAGAAGTTGGAAACTAACTGAGAGTCCTGGGCCGTGTGCAGGAATCTGTATAGTGTCCGTATCTGTCGCATGGGGTCGCTGTCACCTGAATTGGTATCATTTCAACGCAAGTGATTCATCTCATTATCCCTTTGAAGCTATAATTGTATATTGGGATGAATGGAGTGGAAAATTGAAAGATCAATATTTTTATATGAGCTCTGGTTTCTTTCAGCTGGTTCGTTCCTGTTTTTTCGAACACGTGCTTTCAGTTTGTACATACTTATTCGAAATTAGAATATATCATATATGAATTGATCCCAATTCTTATCGTTTCTTGAAATTTGGTTGATTGAAAATAGAAATAGTTCTCAGTATACTACTGCTCACCATCATTGATGGGGTAGTGAAGATACAGAGTTAGGTGTTTTAGGAAACGTCAGTTTGTGGTCAGTTTATGTTGCTGAATCATAATCTGATGTGAAGAGAACGGAAAATAGGATTTTGGTATTTAGTTTTCCAGAATGTGATGTGATTGGAAGGAGTGAAAATGCAATATGGTAGCCATAGTGTTGATGGAGTCCTGCTTGAAATGTGACAGTAAAATCTCCAGACGTCAGACAATTCTCCTGATCGTCGTTGTACTCTGTATCAGAATCATTGAACAGACTATATATACATATCAATATTTACCGACATATTTCAGAACTAACAGTTGAATTGCAAAATCGTAATTTGATGCAGAATCTTCATATTAGGATTGTTCAAAATGTCACTCAATTGAACAGATAAAAGGGTGGTTCAATTGGAAAAACTGATGTGATTCCTTGTAAATTTTTTGCACAAGTTCAATTTGGTCTCAATATTTTGGAGCACTTTCGATCCCATATATTATGCTACTTCCTTTTGCATTTTTTGTATTTGTGATAACTCATATATCTAGTGACCCAAAAACTCTGGACCACCCTGTGTGTACTTCCATTTTGTTTGAACTTCTGGAATCGTGTCTTAAATTCAAACGTCTGAAAGTTGGGCCGTTATCAATATTCATACAGAAACTTAATTTGTATTTTCTGCTTTCACAGAGTATGGGTTTTGAAGTCCTCGAATTTCCTTTTGTATATTCAGCGAATTGACATTTTAACAAGGGCAGCCCTATATATGGTTAATCTCTAGGAGGGGTAATAATCATTTCTTCCTGTTTTTCAAGCTAGGTAGGTACCTCTTGAGAATGTGAAAGATATTTTGTTCTTGTTTAATTTTTATTGACATAGTTTGAGTTTCCAATGAGAACCAAGGGAAATGAGGTAGGAATTGGTGTTCTTCTTAAATTTCTGGAGGTTATATGCCTCGGGGAACACCTCCCTTAGCTATTTGTACCAGAGCCTCGATGGATTCGTTGGATGAACGAGTCTTTGGAAAGAGATGTTCTGCAGGTCTCCAAAGTGACCACGAAGGGGTGCGAAGCCTCAACAAGCCTCAACAATCTCGCGGGGACTGCCAAGGGAGGAACAATTGTTGATATTTCAGAAGAGCAGCGTCCATGAAAATATCTATAAGATAGAGCCAGATCGCCAACTTTCCTACGGTGTTCCAGAGAAGTCAGAGAGTTTGTGAGCGAGGCATCACCCACGAGACGACTTGCCCTTTTTTGGACAGAATCCAACAGCTTCAGGGTATGTTTGGGTGCTGCACTCCAAATATGGAAACAGTATTCCAGGACAGGTCGGATCTGTTCCTTATAGATCATAAGCAGCTGACTGGAAGTGAAATAGCACCTGGCCCGAAACAGAAAACCAAGTTTTTGGGATGCACTTTGAGCAATTAATCCCACGAGATTTTCCCAAGGAAGGTTATTGCTGATAGTAATCCCAAGCATCGAAATGGATGTTTTCAAAGGTATGGTTACTCCTGACAATTTTATGTTGGACACAGTGAGATCGGCTTTTCTAGAGAAAAGGCATGCTTGTGTCTTGTTTGCATTGAAATTTACCAAGTTATTGGATCACCATTCGAGAATTGTTGCCAAGTCCATATTTATGTTGTCAACATTTCTCCCTCGTTTGTTTCTGATTTGCCTGGTTGGAATTGGTGCCCTGGAAGAGGAGGCGGTATGGAGGGTACTATATCATCCGCGAAGCTGATGTGTACTGGACATGAAGTTGCTTCCAACAAATCGTTGATATGGATTTATCATTGCATGGAATTGATGATGCTTCAATTCATATTTCCTGGTATAATAATATGCAGGCTACTTTACACTCAATTGAAATGACCGACTTGCAACATCATTTCAAAGCATCTGTGTTTATTTCTCACTAAGTTGCGAGTTGGATAGAAGAAACAATGAGAACAGTAACATTCATTTTGCTTAATTATGCATGAAAATTCATGAAATACCGAAAATCCACCTTTTGATCACTAGAATTGTACCAGCAATATGAAGTGCTGCAATGAAAATAGCAGGTCTAGACCCAATTTCTCGATAACTGACCAAAATCACTAGTAGTGCGTAGGCGACCAATGTGTTGTGAAGTTACACTTCACACCCTCTACGAGGTTAGCATGAATATGTATTCAAATATTATATTCTATAATTTTTTCAGATGCTTATTTAAGAAACTTCATTAATATTTATCAAAATACACTTTTGTTATGAAAGATAACATGATGTTATATAATGTTAGGTATAACATTACATTTCTGTTGAATTCTCTGTTCCAATCAAACGATATCGATATTGCTGATCAACACAAAAGTCTATTCAGAACATCGTATTGTTAGGTGAATTAATTGATTAGTGAAATTGTATTCTTTATTTTCATTGGTCAAAATTGATGTCATGAAAGCGTCGTTTCTGTGACGAAGCGTCGCGTATGAAACTAAGAAAGCCAGCAAAATGCAGGGATTTTGCCACGAGACTTGTAACACTTAACATCTATAATTTTCAACATCTGTACATAATCTGTATTCATCGCCATCAACAGCAACTGCTCTATAGTGAATAAAACCAGCTAACAGGCCCTGAGTATCATTCAGCTCACCCTACCCAACCCGCAACACAACAAATGTGAATTGCTGCATCTTTCAAAAAATTGCACCAATGTAATTTACTGCAACTTTTGAAAAAATGCACCAATGTAAATCGCTGCAATTTATAAAAAATTGCAAACTGTAGCGGCTCTTAATATCTTAGTTTTTTTGATTGATTCTCTTGTTGATTCTATACTCTTGTTTTTTTTTATCGCTTGGAGCGCATGAAAGGAAATCCCTATAATGTTCAGAGAACATCATGCGTTCCTAGGGAGGATAGGTACAGGAGGTAGGTATTGAAATTTTTTGAACTTCTCGAGATTATATTATGTTGTTGGGAATACTTCCTCAGGCAATGAATTCCAGAGACTAGCCGTTCTATGGATGAAGGAGTTTTGATAAAGTGCTGTTCGACATCTTTCGAGGTTGACAACGAAAGGATGTGCTAACTGGGCTTGTCTAGTTCGTCTGACTGGTATTGCTAGTGAAGGGATGATAGCAGAGATTTCCGAAGAACATTTCCCAAGGAAGTATCGATAGAAAAGTGAAAGGTCGCCGACCTTTCTACGGTGTTACAATGATGTCAAAGAGTGAGTGAGTGTGGCGTCTCCCACCAAGCGAATGGCTCTTCTCTGGATGGAATCTAACAGCATCAGCGTATGTTTTGGAGCTGAACCTCATATGTGGGAACAGTATTCTAGAACAGGCCGTATCTGCGCTTTGTAGATCATGCTGTTGAGGTGTAAAGTAGCTTTTCGCACGGAACAAGAATCCGAGTTTTTGTGGAGCAGCTTTTGCGATGGATCTGACATGATTATCTCATGAAAGAGTGTTGCCGATGGAAATACCGAGCATAGATATAATGGGTCTGGTGGGGATGGTGGTGCCAGACATTACAATATCGGGCATACGGAGTTTCGCCTTTCTAGAGAAAATACAGACTTGAGTTTTGGTGGCGTTGAATTCAACTAGGTTGTTAGTTCCCCAGGCTGTGATTTCAGCAAGGTCTTCATTGACAGCATTGACCTGCCTGCGCCGTGAGTTCTCAGTTTGCTGAGAAGAAATGGGAATTCTGGAAGAGAACGCAGTATGGAGGGTACTATCATCTGCAAAGCTGTGGATGGGGCGAATCGTTACTCCCAACAGATCATTGATATGAAGAAGGAATCATGTTGGTGTCAAAATTGATCCTTGTGGAACGCCGGAATTGATGCTAATGGTATCGGACGATACACCGTCCACCACTACGTGAAGTGATCTGCCTGAAAGAAAACTCGATAAGAGATAGCATAGCTGAGGTGGTAGGCCGTATGATGGTAGTTTGTGGAGGAGTCCTTCGTGCCAAACACGGTCGAATGCTTTCGATATGTCCAACGCGACAGCTAGAGATTCCCCGTGTTTGTCTAATGAATCTTGCCATAAATGGGTGACGTAGGCAAGTAGATCTCCAGTAGATCTTCGGTGGCGAAAGCCGTATTGTCTATCATTGATGATTCCTGAGCTCTCCAGATATTTGGTAAGCTCAATATTGATGGCTTTCTCCATCACTTTGGAGATTACTGACAACAGGGCAATGGGCATGTATTTGTTGGGTAGGTTCTTGTTCCCTTTTTTGAGGATTGGTTGGACTCTATAGCTGTCTTCCAGCATGATGGAAAAAAACCCGACCTGTACGAGACGGTAAACAACTTGCAGAGAATCGGCGGTGTTATTTCAAGTGCACATTTTTCTATCACTCTTTAATTACTCTGGGAAGGGTAATACCGCCTCTACCCCCCCCTCTTCCCGCGTAGAGCCTCCCTTGCATTTCAGATTGTTGGTAATGAAATCGTCCTACAGATCTTGAAGATGCCAAAAACATCGATATCTCTCAAGGCACATAGGGTAAATATTCACCGTCTGAAAGACAGCACGGCACAATGTAATGGAATTTCGGGTGTTTTTCACGGCATTTTCCATCCACCAGTAGGTAATTCGTCCGCGGAATTCCTAGCAGCTCGGATAGAAGTGCGTGCGGCATCGCGAGGCGGCTGTGGTAGTATGCCAC